TTTGGCACAACCTTAGCTTTTATTAGTTATAAAAAATCGCAATGTCATGTTTATTATAAAAAGTAACGCAAAAGTAATGAAAAAAATAATGCTTTTTATCTCTGATAATACACGACATCTCAAGAAAATGCAATAGTCTTTGTAAATATTTATTAGTGTTGTTTTATTTTAGAGAATTTTTGTATAGAAAATTAATTATCAATCGTTCAAAACACTAATTAAATATTTGTGAACATAACATTCGTAGATTAGATCTTGAAATTTGTAATAATCCATTTTGTCAAAGTTCTTGCAGCAATTGAAATATTTTATGTTTGAATGAAAACATAGCATGTGAATGAATAAACTACAGATTAAAATTGTAAAAAATTTTTTAAAATTAATACAAATTATTTTTTATTTATAAGATATAATTATTTTAAAATAACACATTTTTGGGATACTAAACGAAGCAAACGTAAATAAGAGTGAAAATGGGATCACGCACTTTATTTATATTTGTCTGTATTATGTAGTACAAGCGAGATTCCATGTTGCATCAACATTGCGTACCTGGAGCATGAAAAATTTTTACAATGCTGAATGTTACTTTAATTCTAGACATTTTTAATCTATTTTTTTTTCTTGCATTTAGGATGCATTCCTAGTAGAGTGAATCTCTACTTATGCGTTAATTGCTATAAAATAATATAAAAAGGAACTCCCGATAATTTAAATAAGTTATTGAGCGAGGGAGTCAGATAAGAAATGCAGTAAGAAATATGCAGATTAAAATTTAAAATATAATTCACATTTATTCGGTAATTTTTCAAAGTGACAAGTCATTCTAAAAGTTTTAAGGATTACGTATACAATATATTATAAAATATTTCAACTTGTTAGTACTAACATTGTTATAAGCATATTCTAAATATGAGTGTATGTATTTTATATTTAAAGAAAAGAGAACTACCGAATACGAGTATATAGAATCGGCAAAGGTGAGAATCTTTACAGTTAATGTATACATATTAAAATAATTTTTATATATCTACAATATCTGAAAATTATTATATGTAAAATAATATGCGCGCGCGCGCGCGTACACACACACACACACAAATAATTTCAATAATTTATTTATAATATAACACAAGATATATTTTGTATTCTAAATATCTCATATGTTTTGAAATACAAATTTAAGAAATAACTAAAAATAGATCTCGCTTCTGTGAAAGTGTGATTTATTCCGTCGGACCTCACGATTTGCTTATTTCTCTTTAGCAAACTCTGTATTTTCATATCAGTTCGAGCGTCAGAAATGGTATTAATACTTCGCTGTATTAATATTGAGAATATTCTATTCTTGATGAGATTTTTAAACAAATTATCGAATGCAGATTCGACGAAAAAAAATTATTATGATAAATTCGATAAATTAACATTTCATTGTATGATGTTCTCCTGCAAATTTGTCGTTTTTAAGCATTTTCGCTAAATGAATAATTTCTTTCTTCAGCGTGACGTCATTCTCTTGTGTTTTGACGCAAGTGGAAGTTTCGGTAAGTTAGATAATTTTAAGACGCTTATTGTTTCAAGATAAGTTTAATTCTTACATAATTTTTAATTAAAAACTTCGCAATTTTTTCAAATTATTAAAATTGGAACTAATTATAGAACTACCAAGAACATATTTGGAAGAAATACTGTCTTTGTAACGATAATTATCTGATATTATTTTTATAATAATTAATGCAGAATAATTATTATACAACAAATTAATAATAATTAAATCATATATTTTGCATTATATAATTATGTAAATATAATTTTTATATTTTCAAAACAATGGATCTTTCGAAAGCTTTTAAAATCTTTTCGTTTTGCGTCACTTTGCTGAGAAAGTATTTGTTTAATTTTTAATTATTCGGTAATTTGATTATATAGAAAAGATGTTCGGCGTCGTTAGGTATAGATTTTAATACGTAAAGATAGATTTGCCAGTGAGGGGCGCGATCGTATATATTTAGAAAAGTGCCTGGTTTGCCAGAACTGAGAGAGACTTACGTCTCAATGCTTCGCGTGAGATTTTCCTCCTCGGTGACTTTTCTCTTTTTATTTTTTCCTCCTTTGCTTCTTCTCTCGATTTAACAAGAAAATCATTGTAACATTTAAGCACAAAGCGTACATATTGTGTTACTATTTCTAACAGTATAACCGCGTGATTCTCTCTAGCAAATTAATTTAGACAATTGAAATTGAAATTCTGCACTGTGCTGAGCACCAAAATAAAAGTATGACAAAAGCACTTATACATATGTTAAATTTGTTAAGAAATTATATGAGTCAACATATATGAATCTATAATTAAATCTAAAATTAATATTAAAATCTTTGTTAAATTATAAGAAATAAACAAATATTAAAGTATTTACTAAATAGATGAATACTGGAGTGTTAAATAATTTTGCAATGTTTATAATACTTAATTAAAAAATATTTTAATTTTTACTATAACTTTTATTCTCTATATTTTTTATATAAACTTTTATTTCTGTATTTTTTAAAATCTTTCCTATATTTTTTACGTAGTTTAATGAAATCCTGACTTTCAATCTTATTTTCAATAAAATTCCAATTTATACATGAACATTAGTGGCATATTTTGATATTGGTAGCTAAATAATTGTCATTACCTTTAACTTGACTTAAAATATATTCTTTTAGGAATTAAATGGGAACTACATTATCTAGTAGGAGTCAGGGATTTTTGTAGCGTTGTTTTTTTTTGAAATATTAGTAAATCAAACTTAACGAAGACGGCATGACGACACATAACTCTGTTTTCAGTCTATGATAGACCGATCGTAGACTGCAGGAGAAAAAGATAAGTAACTCGTAATTACGTCGTTGCTCAAGACCCTCGTTGTAATGTTTCACGGGTGGTTTGAGGAAATATGTTTGTCAGGATATACAAAGTCATCTTACACGGCCACTCAACGTTGAGTTATGGCTATAACGTCCGCTTATATCAGGAGAAGAGACTTCTAAAATTATTACTGCATTTAAACGTCTCTTGTACGAAAGGATCGTTTCGCAAGGGTAAAAAGTAAATGATGTATATCTTTTCATTGATTTTTGCAAATCTCACACACACACAATCGACGGTGTAAAATTTAAACTCTAATCAAATATATGTAAATGCAATTTGGTCATCCTATTATCTTTAAATATTTATCGTATCTGTGATCTTTGCTACCGCAAAGAATTTCGTGTAGACTGTTTATTTTTTTGTTATTTTTGTTCAACATTATGCGTCGAGTGACGATGACATTTAGTTAGACCTGACGTTTGACTAATCCAAAACAAACTAGATCTCTCATTTAATATCTCAGGTAGTTTCTATTTGTGATATATAATTTGTGATACTATAATTAATTTTAACAGTAAGATTTTATATTTGTATATAGTTTTATACAATAATTACGTAAAGAACTGTACAATTTCAATTTTACATATTCGATTAAAAATAATATCAAGTTTATTAAAATTTTTCCTAATAGAAAGAATATTTACTCCGGATTCAATAAATCTGTCTTAAAAATTATGTAAAACATTTCTTGTATATATGTATATATGACATATAAGATTTGCGCTACTAAACGTGAAGACATTGAAGGATTAAAAGCTTTTAAACTCCTTCGATTTCGTAACATTATGGACTTTTATCGTTTATTACTTGTCATCGAGATTTCGCATATTTCTCGACAAACTGGAAAGTAATGAGATTCGATCGATGTACTGTATGAGATTGATTTTTATTTTATTTTTTTAAATTCTGTCCAGAGACAAGAAAAAATGTACCTCGTGTTATGCGCAAGTGTCACGATGCTACCCAATTTCAACACGGGGACGCCAACGTGAGAGATTCCAATCCGATGACTTTTCGCCAGTCATTTAGAGTTCCACTGTCGATAGCGCGAGTTCATTTTTAGATTCGTTGCCGACTACCACGCTTATATGACAAACTCGCTAGTGACAAGAAATAGAATGCGCAAATGACGAAGTCACGTCAATGCGCTGAACGTAACGCATGTATATTTAATATTATATTTATATCATATAAATATAATATTAAAAAAAGATTTGAATAAAAAAGAGTATGAGTAACTTTGTATTTTTATGATCAGCGTGCTCTCATTTATGAATATGATAAAATTTTATCAGTATGATAAAATTATTACAAAGGATTTTAACGTGAAGATATAAAACAGTAGGATGTACGTAGGTATAACGATAAGTGCAAATATAATAGGATAATAAAAAAATTCGACTTGTATTACTTATATAGGTAGATATATCTAAATTTTTTATTATAATTACAACAGTTTTTGATAATGATAAATTAATTATAATGTTATTCTATAGAAAATCTCACTTGTGCGAATTCGAATTCTCATATAACGCATTGTCGCCTTCGTTAATTTTCTGACCTCATCGTATAAAAACAAACATTATTGTGTAACAGCAATGCGCCAGATATAAGAACTAAGATGAAATTCGATGTGGCACGCGCGCGTCTGATTACGAAAGAAGTATAGCGTGTAATAAATGCTTTTTCTCATTCTCTACACTGACTGTATATGTCTATCAGCGCTCACTTGAGAATCTCCGGCCTTGGATAATTCGCCAATGAAACTTTTCGCTGCATAATATTGTTACAATAAATTGAATTTTGTATTATCGTAGAAATCTTGGATATCGAAATATAAATAGGTAATTTAAATGACACGAAAATATTCTCAAAATATTCTCAGTAGAGTAATAGCTTTTCATTGGCAGCACCACGCGGAAAACACGTGTCTGATCTGGTCGTCTTATTATCACTTATCGGACGTGACTTCGTGTACTTCGGTGTATCATACATAGCGTCATGGCGCCCGTGATAGCGTAGGCGTTTGTATGGCTCGACTGGGATGTAAGACAGAGGATTTCAAGTAAGATGTGGTAGTGGCGACGATAGTGGTGGTCGTGATGGTGGGCGAAACTCCAACCTCGAGCTTCACGATACCTCGCGCGTTTAGTTGGCGCGCGGCACCCCGAAGATTGGGACGGCGGATAGAGACACTCCGTGCAAGTAAAAAGAGAGTAGGATACGAGAAAGAAGAAGCGAGACAGCGACGAGCGACCACACGACGAGTGACGACGACGACGCAAGACGAAGACGAAGACGATCGAATCTGAAAATAAGAAAAAAAGAGTTCCTCTTAATTTTCTCCGTTTTGTTCTCGCGCGAGCTTGTAGAATTTTCGAGCCGAGTCTTCCAAGCCGAGTGTGTGCGTCTCATTGTCTGCCTCGGGGGGGTTGGAGTGATCCAGGAATAAGCGACTGTTCGCCGTCGTCAGGTGTCCGAAGAAACGCTCGGCCAGGTGCTGGGACTCGCACCTTTAGAAGGAAAAGCGCTCATCCTCTTCTGAAGAGGACACTTCAAGTAAGTCTCTCAATGATGCATTGGATTGCGGATGCGCACGTTGTGTGGCTGCGAGGGAGCGTGCGTGACGATTGCCGGATTCACGCGTGTCAGTGCGATTTCTCGTCACACCTTGCCTAAACTCCTTTCGAATTCCTTCTTTTCCCCTTTCATCCCTCCATCGCCTGTTAATATTGTTAACGTCAAAGATCGCGTGTGGATCAGTGCTGAAGTGTGAGCAACAAGTGACGGATCGGTTTCGCGCACGCTCACCTATAGTGAGTGATTTGCCAGGGGGTAGGTGAAGGGACAAGTGGATTGAGGAGGTATGTCACGTTCTCATAAGAAAATGATCCAGTTATCCTCGTAGATCAGTCGTTCCTTCTTATTTCGATTATATAATCAAATGTATTTCGCAGAAGCAGATATGAGACAGAAGAAGAACAAATATTAAAAATTGAAAGTAATCGAGAATTAAAAAAGGATGATGGAAAGCAAGTGTTAACGAATTACAATACGCCCTGCAAGCTGTGATCATCTTTCATTTTCGCTTAGATTTTGCCAGATTTTAAAAATGAAAAAATTCGCTTAATTTCTATTTAAATTACGAATTCTTGTCTTAAACACTTATTTATCTATTTGTTTTTTTTTTATTTATATTATAAATTTTCAAGATTAAAAATATAAATTGCAAAAACAAAACATTTTATTACGGTGATATTTGTAATTTTATTTTGGAGTGGACTGACAATATGGATATGGATTTATTACTATAAATATTAAGTCTCATCACTATGGATATTAAATTTAAGTCTCATCGTAATTGATATTAACTATTAACAATCCATAACATTGACGTATAGTTTTAACATCATGACTTTTAACACACCATGTTTATATCAACACCAACACGAGAGAATTATACAAGCGCATCGCATGATATTATTAAATTCATACCTATTTCTTTTAGAGTGATTGTTCTGAATCTTCAGCAGCTTATATGATAAACAAGGGGTTAATTACTGTCATATACATTTGCATTTCTTTCGAAGCATCTCTTTTTTAGTGTTGCAATAATTTCCTCGTTGTGTCTTTGATTACTCTTCATCATTCTGTCTCATTATTTAATTATTAAGAGAAATTTGGTTAAAGATTATAAAAAATCTGAGTCCTCCTAAAAAACCTGAGTTTCCAATAAGTATTCCACGATGTAGACGTGTCTCTCGCGCTCGACAACCCTACTTTACATGACTAATCGCCACGAGTTTTGTCGCGGCGGCGGCAACTATTCGTAGACTACTATCTAGGTATCTAGGCTCGGAGTCCACTTATTTTTAGGAGGGCGTAACGTGAGGAGCAGTTCGTCGTTCCTACGACCATCTTTTCGCTCGTGTCGTTGTTTCATAAATCGTTTCATCCATCTTCACATTATTGTACTATCCGACACTTTGTCTAACGCTTCATTTGCCGCCTTGTCTTCTCGACTTCCTCTCCTTGGTCTTTCGCACCTCGCATTTATACGTTAATTTTAGTTAATTCAGAGTCTTAATAGAAGTTTTATTTGCCCATTTCTTTCTGTACATTCCATCATTCCAATTGTGATTCTAATCATGCGATTTAAAAGAATATTGTAATCTATTCTAATCTATTTATCAATCTATCTATCTATCGATTCTAATTTATTTCTATCACATGTAAATATATCTTAATTTGTAGATAAATCAGTCAGTTGTCTTTCTTTTATCGCTTTTTCTATTTGTTATAATTTTTATTTTCTTAATAATTGTAAAAAAGTACCAGTCAAATAGAATAACATTTATTAATATAATGCAACATTCTTTGCAACAGATGTGCCAGAAACTTTCAGGAAAAGAATTCTGACAAGATTCAATTATACAGAAATTTTGAAAATGATGTATTTACTTTACAAAAGTTTTTTTCGCTGCCGTAATAATTGCAGATACTATAATTCTTTCTTCTAACTTTAACAATCAATGAGAATCTCAGAATGTCTAACCGATTTAAAAATATCCCACATACCAGAAGTTCTGCGAGTTTTGTTAAATCCGGAGAAGTCGATTGGTAAAGAACGTAAAGAAAAGTTAAATCAATACATGCGTCCCCATCTCGGAAATAAATTTTAAAATACGATTAAATCTGATAATGCAATGTTAAAAGCGAATAAATTTATTTTTTGTATTAAATGTATCTATATAATTATTAATAATTTATGTTACAATTATTAATTAAATTAAATTAAATAATTAAAGTATTTTGGTTTATAATTCTCACAGCTGTTTTCAATATAAAGCGCTTAAAAGAATAATTTTAATCCTACAAAGATAAGAGAGGATATTTTTTAATTCAATTACATTTTTACTATTTTTAGATGTATCAAAATATTACTTATGACTTTATTTGAATTCTTAAAATTTTTTCTAAGAATTTTATCTTGTAAATGACTTCAAAATTATTCCACAATCAAATTTATTAAACGCAAATATATTTATTTGATTGATTGACTTGATGTCTGTGTTGAGATGAGACAAGATATTGTATTTTCTGTGTGATACATACATTATTTATAAACTTGATATACATTATTTTAAACTTGATATATATGAACATATTAAGAATGTTAAGCACGATCGTATATGAATACATCAAATACGATAAAGAAAGCTAAGATCGATCAAATTTTCGATGTTACAAATAATACATTATATATTCTTTTATTAATATATACGTTTTAATTAATTATTTACTTCGTGTATTTATACATATTGACGTATTTTTGGACGCATTGTCGACATTGTTACATTTCTAGCCAAGCGACTCGGTTTGTCATCAGAGTCAGTCTTAGTGTAAAGTAATATTATTCTTGGCTGTATTTGCTATTGTCTGATTCGAACTGACAAATTTGTTTCTTCTTTTTGTCATAATTAATGTATCAATGTGTTTTTTAATAAAAGAAAAAGGAAAAGAGTTAATCATAATAATTATTAAATTTTAATAAAATAAATACTAATGCTAGATAAACCATTAAAAAATACGCAGTTTTAATTTTATAATTTTTATTTATAAACTTATTTAACTTTGTAACGATATTGCAACCATCCGATATGTCAGTATTTCATTTATAAACAACTTCATTTCGTTTACTTGACTAATTAGTTTAAGGCTAATATGATTAATTTACAACAGAAGGCTAACCTAAAGTCATATTCTTTTTTTATATATTGCAATACGTATTAAATAAGTGAACAATTATTTAATGTTTGGACTTAAACATTTCCCGCGTATATTTTATTAAAACATCGTATTCTAATACATTATGATTAACAAAAGTTACAAGATATTTTTACATTATGATTTAAATCGTTATATTATTACTTCAAAATTTATTTCAATCTTCTACTATGTTTAAATTCGTTATTTGTATATTTGTATAAATTGTATATAAAATTGGCATTCTTATTTTATTTTTTACAATATCGCGCAAATAACCTAGCAAATAATGTGTAATATTACATTAACTAAAATATTATCAAGTAAACCTTTCATCACAACGACGTCATTTTAACATAATTTCTGATTTTGCGGCCGGACGTTTTGCCTCATTCTGCCAAAAAGTCGAGTGCAAATGCTTGTTTACAAGATTTCTCGCGTTTTATCGCGGATAGATCGGAACGTCGATCGGTGATTTTAGTGCTGCTGTCGACTCGTTTGAGTCAGTCGGCGAAAATAGATGCACGGTGCGTCGCAAGTAACGCGGTCAGTAGTATAGGCATGGTAGAGTGCGCCTGCGAAAATGCATCGTACGACTAATAATTATAACTCTCGCGAATAGAATTTAGTTCCGGATATGACTTCACCTTGAGCGTAGACTATTTTCTACTATTTAGAAATGAATCATTGCTATGTGACAAAAGCTCTTTATAGAACATTAAAAATCTCAGAAACTAATTAATATATAATTTAAATTTTTGATTATATTAAAAAATGTTAATTAATATATTATCCATGTTTTCTTCTTATTCAAGAATTAAAGTTACGGTGTATTGAAGCAATGATTCAATGATATTTAAAATATCTTTAATGTTTTAATCTAATTTTTATTATTATATAATGCTATTATTGTTGCATTCTCTAAATATAATTTTTTTCTTAATTCGCGTTGTTATGAATTAGATTCCTTTTTCCCGGGGAAAGCATGTGATTTAAGATGTGAATTATTCTGCTACAATGCAGTACATTATATAGAATGCTAAATATTTTTAGATTACTCACTTCACATGATTCTTAAGAGTGAGTGGGTGCATAACAGTAGGTGTATTAGTCATGATTAAATACATAGTTAATTTGATAAAAATAGATACGGGTATATTAAGGATTATTATTCGTAGTACAAATGTATCTTACATAAAAATTTAAATTCAATTTTATGTCAGAGTGCTGATATCAAATTTTATGTCAGAGTGCTGATATCAAATTTTATCATTTTGCATATATGTTAGAACGGTCGCATAAACTGTCTCGTAAATTCATGACAATGAAGAAAGGAGATTGCTTGGTACAATGCACGTGGTTCAGAAGTTTTGCCAAAACGCAATAATTGCGTCTTTTTAATGATGCTACTTCAGTGACAAACGCAAATTGAACGTTTATTCCTATTGTGAGATTTTAACAGTTTACACTGCACTGCAGTGTCCCATTCTTAATTTTTGTTTCCCGTCTGTTTTCTCTTATCTTTATATTTCTTATATATCTTCTTATGGTAACTTTATTAATTATAATATGCAGTCATAAAATCGGTTCTGTTTGTTTTGTAAAACTATTTCATTATATAAAGCACTTATATATCTAATGTGCTACATTTTTATTGGGTCAAAGTATCAACAAATATGTATTGTATCACAAATAGCCGACAGAATTATGCCAAAGTGAAGCAACACTTTCTATATAGCCAGCAAAAATATTAGGTCAGTTGGATGCCGACATACTCTCACGTACAATGTGCTGACATTTTCAAGGATTTGAATAGCACATTTCTCGATCGATATCTTAACATTCTTAAAATTTTTTATCGTTTTGCTTTACTTAAAAAATATATTTTTTAAAACAATAACATAATTTTAAAAAACTTTTTCTTATTATTTAAATAATTTTTTTTACCAAAAGGCACGATTAATATTTTCTATGAAATGCGTAAGTTTTAGTTTTATATTTCTAGTTTTTAATTCAATAAACAAGCAAGCTATACATACTAATTAAACTTTCTATGTTATTTAAGTGAAAAAGCATTCAACAATAAGCTAACTAAATTTTTTAGGAGCAAAAGCATATTATAAACTCAGAGAAATAAATGTTTGTTTTATTATTAATAGAAAAACAATTTTTCTCGCATGTCGAATTCTTAAATTAATAAAAAGATTAATACTAGAAAATTTTTTAAATCAAATGAATATTTTATGAATATTTTAAATTCTTGTAACTCTTTTGTATTTTTTTTTCTTTTTGAAAAATCAATCGTCGGATGATAATCGCGATGCGAAAATCAACGTGCAAAAGAGCCGGAATGCGAACGGCTGTTACGAAGTACAGTAATTTCGGGAATGCATGTGGAGGCCACTTGCCAAGTCTTACTGTGACGTTGTAATGTTCAGTCCGTCCGTTTTGTATGTCGTTTCGTCGGTCCGTTAAGCTCTCCCTCGCATCTGCTTGGTCTTGTCTAAAAAGATTAACTATAAATCGTACTACTAGTCGTAGAATATATGTCGACATTAAATCATCTTTCTGGAATATTACACACACACACACACACACACACACACACACACGCGCGCGCGCGCGCACGCACACACACACAAACACACAATATAAAGCAGCTGTAAAAATCTATTTAAAAATTTGCATATAGAACCATATTTATTATTAATTTCTGCTAATTAGAACTAGTGGATATATAAATTTTCTTTGTAAGAAAAAAAGGAATAACGAAGAAACATTGGTTGCGTTCAACAGAAAAAGCAGCTTTACAACTGTTGTAAAATTCTTAGATATGATTGGTTTATACATTTAAATTCAGTGAGGAACTAAGTACAAGACCAATCATATTAGAGAATTTTACAACAGTTGCAAAGCTTTTTCTGTTAAATGCAGCCATGGAATTTTTATGTATGTTTAACATTGATATTGTCGAATCGATAGCTCCTTTATCTTTTCATTTATGTTATAATTCGTTTATTTGGCACTTCTCAAGACAGTGCGAGGGCAGCCAGGCGTATCATATTTCTATTGCCTGGCTGGAGCTGACATAATAGGATGATTTGTTTCACAATTTTGTGGCTCGGACGGTGGCAACCGACCAATTACGCGAATCTCACGTTACCGGAAGGATATCGTCTCGTGTCCCAACACCTATCCTTGCACTTGGCAGTCTTCTCCGGCACACATCACGCAAAACTAATTCATATCTTCTGAAACGTTTGTCATCTATCGCCAAAATTTGTACAGCTTTTCAATCAAATTTAGACTTGTCTTATATTCTATTTACAATTATTTATAATATTAAAAATTATAGATAACTACTTGAGCTTGCTTAAGCTGGCATTCTGTCACATTCGTGAACATAACAATTAGACATAGAATCTGAGAAATTTTCTTTCTTATACAAAAAAAGGATACACAAAAAAAAGCAAACTAAATAGAATATTAATTTTCTACTTAAATACGTCAATTATTTTGTAGTTATAAATAATACAAATTAACTTCTCTAATTAACTTCTATGTATTTTTATTATTTTTTAATCACAAGCATATTTTGATTTAACATAATTCCAATTTAATAACATCACAATATTGTCTGATAATAAAATTTTCTATTGATTGATTGAAATGATATGGAACATTTATGTTTGTTTATGTATTAG